TTTGCGAAGCTTCTCGGCATCCTCGCCAGGCACATGCACTGCGTCACCTTGCTTCGTCGACATCGACACTCAGCTTTGGATGGGAGGCCGTTCACCCCTCGCTGGGCCTGAGAATTGAAGTCAATAGGTTATTTGTTGTGTTAGAAGACTGTGACACATGTACATGCATCCAGAATCGCATACACACAGACATACCATCTCCATTGAATTGTGAATTCCGCACTCTCCCAACAGTAATGAACCGTAAACAGGAACTAAGGCGGACCTAAACTCACTAAGATCTCGGCCGGAGGCAACACGAAGGGGCTTGTGCCAGTCCGCGAGGCGAGGCACCGCACGTGCGATTCAACCTCCCCGCTCAGTACGTGTAAAACCTACTTGGACCAAAAGTAGGCTATTTTGGGCTTGGAGTTAGATTAGATGACGGGGCGACGATACAAGATGTTGGCACCCTAAACTCGACTGCACAATCCGGCCGGGTTTGGGGCTTGCTGGCTATCCTAGTAAACTGTCCAGACGTTTGTAACATCATGAAAAACCTTTTCTGGAAGCCGGGCAGAACATATGGGCGTTTCCGAAAATTAGGGTACCTTATTTAGGGGTCCTTATAAGAAGGATCCTACTATTTAGGGTACTATATTAGGGTCCCCTATTTTCGGAAACTCCCATATACCCAAATCCTATTGAGATTTCCGGCTCGGACGCTCGGCCCCTTGCAACCTGGGGGAATCCTCCTCGGCCTATGCGTCCCAATCTCCGTAAGCCTTCCGAAGGCAGGCCTTGAATCCTCAACGCTATCCAAATTTTCGCAGTGAATCCTTGTAAAGGGATCCTCATTCAGTGGTCTTGATTTCTGAATCCTGTGTTGAAGGACTGGCACCTTCTTTTCCTGGTGCTCCTCTGCCACGAAAAGTCGCAGAGCTCCAGCAGAAGAAGGCTACACATGCGTCGCTTCTAGGCATCCTACGGATAGGATTGGCCGCTCCGGGAGGTACGTAGCCTTAAAACAATAGTTGATGCTGTCGCGATAGATCAAGTGCAGTTGGCTAGGTTCATACGCTGGCTAGCATCTAGTCAAGGAACTCGTATTGGACATTCCGGCAGGCAACGAAGTAGTTCCGATCCTGACGAAAGCTACTTGTAGCTATGTGGAGCTTGCGGGAGCTGTCGTCCCAATTCACTTCAGAAGCGGAGAGCCACGTCAAAACCGTGCTCGAGACCTTGTTTGGTCGTCTAACAATAATTGTGGTGGTGATGGTGATCCTCGTAGTGCCTGTGCAGGCATGGAGCCCGAATTGCAGCATGCAGCATTTCCCCGGGGAGATCGTGCAGAACAGTGATGCAGCGCCGGCAGCTCATGGGGAGGTTAGGGCTCAGACGATATCGGAGGCCTCAAAGGGTGGGATGAAGGTAGGTGGGATATTCCCAAATAAGAGTCCTTATATAAGGGATCCTTAATCCTACCTACCTGCATCCCACCTTTTGAGGCCTCCGATGATAGAGGAGTGGCTTGCTTTTGTTGAGTACACTACACGCCGCTGAAGAGATCGGGATTCCTGGAGCCTTGGCCCGATCGAACATATCCACGGCCGGAATGCGCTGAACGATGTTTAAAGCTGCAGCTGTTCTGGCGGTATTCAATATTGGTTGCGATGCACTTCTCACCAGTTCGATGAAGAATGATGCCAGAAGATTGGTTGCTTCTCGCGGTTTCCAAAGCACCTTGCAGCTGCAGGAGCACCGTTTTCCCAAGTTGATGTCCATCCATCTGGGTCATGTCGTTTCGGGTCTAAAGCTCAATCCCACTGAGCTCTGGTGTCCCGTGATGTCTTCATATGTCTTCGAATTTAAGAGCACTTAGGCTTCAGGGTGCATCATAGCACCTCGGGTGAAATTCTCAAGATGACCTCTTTCCTGGACCGCAGTGTTTACATTGTTTGGACTGCGGGGTGGTGCAGAGTGACGCTGATGGATGTGAGCAGCCATGATTGTAGTCATGTGTGCGATTGTCGTCGAAGTTTAGTTGGTCTTGCTTCGTCAATGTGTAATAAAGGGACCTCAGTCTACCTATTATACTATTTTGGGGGTTCCTTGATACGTTTATTGTATAATATACCCCCAAGCCCCTTTCTAATGATTAAGGTCTCTATACTATGCCTACTCCTGTCAGAGGTGCAGTGAGCAGCATGCCTGGTTGGAGATCTATAGTTTCACAGCACCAAGCTCCGACTGCCTCTGACACCCCTACAAACCCGAAAACCCGGAACCCTTAACAAAACCCTACAACTACTGCCCAAAGCTATGAACCCCAAACAGTGCCCTGGACCTGTTAAGTGAAATCAACAAAAATTCCGGGATGCGGCTCAGGGCGCCCTGGGATATTCCCTACCAGGAGGCCTTCGAAAACTTCCGTGGGTTCCGATTCGATAGCAATGAAGCGCTACGATACTTGTAAAAAATAGATGTGTGCTCATATATGATAGATATGATTATGAAGTGGCAATAGGGTTGTAAAGAAATTGGAAGACTAATGAGAAGGACAATGGTGTCAACCAAGTTCAGAAAGTCCTTTTGGCCCGGGTTTAGTTTTGCTTTGGATTTGTCGTCCTGCTTCTATTTGTAGCGTCTAGCAGGCTGTTAAGGGTTTCGAGTCCATTATGCTTTGGGTTTCGTCACATTGAGGTTGAGACCATTTCAGGGCCAAAGTTTAAGCTTTGCATGTAGCTGGGTGTGGCATAATAAGGGGTTTATGGGAAATGAGCTACGTTGTGCAAGTGCTTGCGGTATCATGCCGTCGAAGCAGTCACCATGGCCGTACCGTCAACAACAGTAGCACGAGTAATTCGCTGAAGCGGCAGTGTCCATGATAGGGAGTAGCACCAGAACGAGACCATCCTGGAATGAAGACAACAGTAGTAGTATAGCCTGGCAACAGTGATAGCAAAGGAGTACGAACCATCGTAAGTCTCCCAACAAGAAAGCATGCTGAGCAGGCTGGCCCAGAGAGCTTTGCCGAGTACCCGAGCAGGTGCTTCCACACAGCATGCATGTTGCGCCAGGGATTGGAACGAGATGTCATGCAAGATATGTCTTGCAGGCTAGTTGTTTTCCATGCGTATTCAATATGCACATATAGTTTACTCATGACCATGACATTGGGGTAATCTGCCGCAGGTGTTAGTATGGATATAGGTTCGGGTCCAGCTGTTATGCATGCATGTAAACGCATCGACTTTGCCTCCAGACTTTCAATTCCCTCCGTTTCGAAACGATTTCTGAAGCTCTGGGAGGCCGCAAGAAGTCCGCAAAAGCCATGGCTGGCAAGCTAAAACCGTGGAACTGAGCTCTTCGCGGCGGTCTCTGTAAACAAACGGACATCCGGACGCTGTAAACCATACTCACCAGTTGATCTATGGAAGCGAGCTAATCTGAAACTGTAGTAGCATTAGCATGCTGCTAACGAAACAACACCGAACCGCACCATGGGCTATCACTAGTATCGCTGCCGACGTGCCGCTGTGTCCGAATAAGTGCTGAAGCATCTTTGAAGCTGTCTGCATGCTAGATCCCATACAGCCTGTTGAACGTCATATGGGTGGTTGTCAAAATTATGGTCCCTTTTTGGGTACCCTAAATATTAGGTGCCGTACTATATTAGGGACCCAAAAAGGGACCCTAATTTTGACAACCGTCCATATCAGGTGCGGCGGTTTTTTGTTGCACCAGTCGTGACACCCAGACAGTTCTGTGCAGGTACAGCAGCTCGGGAATGCCCGAGGCAGGTTTTCGTTGAAGTTGGCAGAAGATAGGCTTATACATATACATGTGTGTATATATCCATATATATATATATATATATATATATATATACATTTACCGATATATACTGTATACATACATATACATACAATTATACATACATACATACATACATACATACATACATATATATATGTATATAAATAAATAAATAAATATATATATATGTATATATATATATATTTACATATACACACACATACTTATGTAATTTGTTGTTTGCCTATTATAGCGGAAACTGTATCGCCCATGTCGGCATCAGAGCATGCTGAGAAGAACCTACTCCTCGCGTGGCAGGGCAGTTTGTAGCCCATCAGAGAAGGGCCGAGGCTCATGCTGCTAAATCAAGCTGGCTAGGCGTTGAACGCGCTGACTTTTCAAATTTAAGGCTTGGCTTGACAGCTCGCCGTGTCGCATCCGTCATCTTGCTTGCGCGTTGCTCGCAGCACCCGTGCATAGTGCATCCTCACATCGCCTCCGCGATTGTTGTGACCCTGGACATCATGTCCGGCCAGTCGAAGGACTTCAGCTGGAGTCTGTAATGTTGATCATCGGTGGGCTGCGCTTAGCGAAGAAGACCCGGCAAACTGTCTAATCAAGCCAGTATCCATAGACTCTATTGTAGTTCCTGTTTGGGAGTACCTTATACGATCCCAAATACAAACCACAAAAAGGAGCTACAATGGAGCCTAATGTTGACCCCTGATTAATAAACCCCCCCCCCCCCCGCCCCCCCCCCCCTCAAGGTTGTCAAGGTCGCAGGCCCCCCACAGGATCACAGACCCCCAAATAATCCCGTGAAGCCAAATTGCAGTAAACAGTGGTGCTAGTAGTAGTAGTCGTAGTAGCAGCAGTAGTAGCAGCGGCAGTAGCAGTAGCAGTAGCCCTTGAAAGAACCGCTTGAAACAGGACAAGACGCCCTTTAAATGTAGTCTTGCCCCCTTTAAAAGTAGTCTTCGAAGCACTTTTTGAAATTTTAGATCCCCAGACGGTGTTGCCTTTAATCGTGGGGGGTTTTCTGCAAAAAACGATCCTTATTTGGGTGCTGCCTTTAAAGTAGTACAGATTGGGGCCGGAGCCGCCCGCAGGCCGCCTTTAATCGTGGTGGGATTATTAATCCTAGGTCAACATTATAGGTAAGCTGCACCCGGAGTCACAGTAGACCGATCTCCTCCCAGGAGATGGTGTACACCTTGGAGTACCCGTCCGAGAAGCTGAGCTTCCGCCACCACTTCTCTTCTTTGTTGCTGAATCTCAGCAGTGCCGAAGTTGTTCGTCGTTTGCTCTAAAGTTTTAAAATGCTTATGACCTACTGTAGAGGAAAGCCTTCATGTCTCCAGAAGCCGGAGAAGTCAGGAGTGGCGACTGGTCCCTCACCTTGCTGGAACTCGGCAGTTTGGGGTCGCTAGTGGCTGCAGCTTGCCTGCTACCCGGTGAGAAGGCGGGGGTTTCCGAAAATTAGGGGTACTCTATTTTGGGGTCCTTATAATAAGGATCCTACTGTTTAGGGTACGATATTAGGATCCCTTGTTTTCGGAAACTCCCAGGTGAATGTCAAGGGCTCTTGGACTCTGAAAGAGCTCGCTGCCTTCCTCTGCACGAAGGCTGCTGTGACGCGTCTTTACAACACCTACTTGGAGGCAGTGTTCTTCAGCTTCCCCAGCTTCCGCACGCAGCCTCCGAAGGAGCATGCGCTGAAGGAGAAGAGGGACCTTTGTGGAAGGGACATGGAGCAGCTTCAGACCATTCTCTTTCATGATCGTCTAACCCTGCTCAGTCAGTTCGCCTTTAATCTGGGTCTCTACTTCGCGATCCCCGGCTACTACCCAGCAGCGGCCGACGTCGTGGCGCCCCTTCATGAGCGAGTGCTTCGACTTGTGGCCAACCACTACCTCATGTCCTTCGGCATGTACTGGACGCATCGAGCTCTTCATGTGGTTCCGTTCCTTTGGGACAAGATCCACTCTTACCACCACTGGGCTAAGCACCCCTTGTCCCGCAACACCTACGACGACCACTGGCTGGACAACCTCGGCAATGCCGTGGTGGGGCACTTTTGCGCGCAGGCCTTTGGGCCTAACACTATTCAGCTTTGCCATGTTCCAAGATGTATTTTCTGTACTGCCTGATGGTATAAGCATTACAGCTATGCTCGTTGCAGTAGACATAAAAGTAGGCGGTCCGTTGAGTCATTGAGAAGATGACCACTGCAGTGATCCTTCGATCCTTCGGGAGCCTCTCCTCTGGTCTTACCTTTGGTTAGTAGGGAATGGAGGATTGGTGTACAAATATAACTACTATTACTACCAGTCTTCCATTCCCTACTAACCAAAGGTAAGCTGTCCAATCTTCTCGGATCTTGAGAGTCTCAGCGATTCGATGAGGCCCTCCTCCCCCTGGACCACGGGACCTTCTGGTTCTCGCACATCTTCCGCATCTTCGAGAGTTTGGACACCTCGGCTGTAGCTAAGGAAGAAACGGATATTGTGCGCGTGCGTGGGTGAGAGTAGTTCTGGGGGAGTGCGCAAGTATGTAAAGCAAAGGAGCAGACCATGGCTTGAACCGCTTAGGGATCCCAACAGAGTCTCTCCCGCCTTTAGAGAGTACGAATGGGCTGTTGGAGAGTATAGCCAAACGGTTAGCACGTATTGTTTAGGGATTTATTGTGATTTGGGGTCTGTCGTGAATGTGCCGTTGCAAGCTGTGGCCGCGTGGAGGTCTCGCAGGTTTGTCTGTCTGTCTTCCGTTGACTGAAAGCTAGAAGCTGCGGCTGTACATTTTGTCTGGCATCACAAAAATTAGGGGTACTGGTACCTTATTTGGGGTCTTTATAATAAGGGTCCTCGGTCCTACTATGTAGGGTACCATACTAGGTAGGGTCCCCTATTTTCGGAAACTCCCATATGCTCGCGAGAGTATCTTTGTGCATAAAGCAGCGAGGCCTCCAGCGATCCCTTCCAAATCACAGACTCTCAGGAGAAGCACTCTGGCGTGAGCTGCGGATTCAATCTGGCCCACCAGCTGCAGAGGCCCTTTTTCATGTTGCTATGTGGGTGGAAGCCAAAATTGGGGTCCCTTTTGGGATCCTTAAGAAAATACGGCACCAAATATTCAGGGCACCCAAAAAAGGGACCATATTCAGGGCACCCAAAAAAGGGACCATAATTTTGACAGCCACCCAGATGCTTTTCGTTTGTGGCACCTACAACATGTTAGCAGAGTGCGCCAGTTGCTGGCAGTTAGCAAGCTCGCTGTTTTGCTGCGTTCGTGGCGTTGCGCGAAGCTCTACAATCCGCGGCAGACTTGCGACGTCTCTGAGACCCGGCCCATGCCGTTTTCTGTCAGGTATTTCCCATTTGCGCAGATGCCACACCACCACGACTGGCATCACGAAGGCCACAAGGGATGCTGCTCGCCGGCAGTTGAGCATGTTCCCGTCTCGAAGTTTTAACATCCGCATGTGCCATACATAACCCTAACCCCGAACTTAAGCTGGGTTGTGCTTTGGGGATAATTTTTAAATTCTCCTTACTAAGGGGAACCTATTCATAAATAATTCTTAAACGGCTTGTAGCACAACCCAGTAAGGCAATTACACCTTCAGCTCCATCGGCGGTCTTTGGGACTGCGTCTTCGGCACGCGAAAAGTGGGCCGGGCATTGGAGATCCAACCTTCGCAGGACCGGTTTACACGGTTTAGGGTTTAGGGGTTTAGGGTGTAGGGTTTAGGGGTTTAGGGTGTAGGGTTTAGGTTTAGGGACTCCCCAAAATACTCCAATACTGTAGGGGTCTTAAGAATAATAGCATCGGGTTCCTTTAAAGTGCTCTATGTCAGGGTTGCTTTAAGGGCTATTATAAGGGTACTATAGTATAGTGGTCTTAATAATTAGAATAGGGTTTTGGGGCCCATTCTGCTGTACTTATAATATGGAGCCCCCAAAATAGTATCGGTAATTATTTAGGCCCTGTATTAATCATGAACGACAGCAGGTAGCATTCCATAGAGAAGTGATCAAAATCGTAAGTCCTAGGACACCTAAAGTCAATAAGTAGGAGCAATAATGGTGATGGTAATGGCAATAGTGATAATACCAATATGTCTCACAATCATAATCACAATGAGCGCAACAGTATTGGCAATAGCAACACTAATGACAGTTTGATTAGACGAATCTCCGTACGAGTCCTGCGGTATCTGCGGCAGGCGACCTACCGGGACAGAGCCCAGGGTAAGAAAGCGGGCCGAGCTCGCACCCTGCTGGACCACCCGGTGATGTGCCTCATGCCCGTGTTCTCAGTGACGGCTGCTGGGCTCAAGTGCAGTGAAGCGAGTTGGAGAGCGTTAAGAAACGAGAGCGAGGGCATTGAGAGCTGCAGGCTGTCGCCATCATGAAGCTGCAGAGGGACGGTTTCTCCTTGTCGAAGCAGAGGTGAGGCCTTAGCAGGCCGACTATCCTCATCAATCCTCGTCACTTTCATTTCAGAGACCTGCGTTGGTCTCGAGAGCCAGTACAGTAAGCACCATGTTCGGCTTTTAATTCTGTTCCCTGCAATCAGGGTGTTGTACAGGTTCTGCTTCTGTAAGCAGGCTGCGCGCAGCTTTTCAGCTCCCTTGCAGTCCTTGCAGCAGTGAGCTCTTCCCGCAATTAAATCTTGCCGTGTAAGGATTTGCACGCACCCAGCTCCGTCCTAGAAACGTCTGGAAGCCTCACTTCCTGTTGCTGCTAGTATCACATGCAGGTGCCTGCAAGTCTCACTGCACGGCATAGCTGGCAGAGACCGAAATCCCACAAACCACGTCCTTTCTCAAGTGCAGCCTCAGTGCAGAAAGAGCCGCTCGAGTTGAGAAGCGAAGCCTGGGCTTCTCTTTGCCCAGGGCCCTTCATGACATGGTGAGGTAACTGGCGGACACTGGGAAGCGCACTCATCGCGAAGTATATGCTTGATGTTTTTTCCGTGTTTCCCTTGTCTTGCGTGACAGGTGGACACCAGTGGCTCTGAGGAGGAGGCATCGAGATCTGAGATGGCTAGTTCTGACCCTATGAAATAGGTTTGAGAGGTTCAAATCTCTCCAGGACTCTGACTCTGGAACTCTGCAGGTTTGCGCACATTTGTCGGCTAGATTGTCGCATTTCCCTTCTACACCAGGTGTGTACGGCGGATCTATTTCCAGTGTTCCCAGATGTCTGATAAAGTCTGGAGTTTGCTGGAGGTTAAACTCCGAGAATCTGAGTCGCAAGCGACAGCTCTTGCACAGCTCTGATCATGCTGGAAGCTCTGCTAATGAACCGGAACTCAGCAGTCAGAACTTGAATCATAGGTGCTAGAGCCCAAATCCATGGCCGGAGAATCCAAAAAGCCATGAATTAAAGTATATGATATTATGTTACATTGTACTATATATGATGAAATTATATATGATATGTTATCATATTGTGTCATATCATGTAATCATGAGCCCCTGCACAGGAGCAGTACTACGCCGAGACTTGCCTTTCCAGCGAGGTTTGAGAAGTCATGTCCAAGTGTTCGAGGGATTTGGTGGCTCTTGGGTTTATAGGGTCTAAGGTTTCAGTCAGGGTTTAGGGTTTGGGGTTCAGGGTTTAGGGTCAGATTGCACAATCTCAGTCAGATTTTGTGGCGGTTCGGACCCCGGGTTTGTCTAATCTCAAAGTCTCAGTCGCAGCTTAGGACAACTCTCCGTCATTTTCGTCACGGAGCCGGTCGCGACAGCAGTGGCAGCAGAGGCCCACACTCTGGAGATGCCGGGGCTCAAAGCTTTGTCCGGATAGCTTGGTCGTGAGCTGGTGGATTTGGGGTTGAGGGTGGGAAGGTGCCTCTGCTTCAGAATGCTGCATTATCTGCTGGGGCATGATGACATCCTACGGCTTAACAGCATTCTAGGCCCAGTGACTATCGTACTCAAGTTATCAACCCGCCCGGGATAGAGCAAACCCCCCATAACTAGGATGCCCAGTAGCACCCTTATTCCCTTTTTGTAGTCCTAGGTTCCTATAAAGTTACCCAGTACCAAAAAGGGAGCCCGTTTTGTTCCTAGGTTACTGGGCATCCTAGATAATCACAAAGCAAACCTTCAGGAAGCCCGAGCCGAAAGCCGAAATCCGAGTCACCTCGCACCAGGGAGTCAGGAGAAGATGGACTCTTGGCCCGCCTGCGCCGAAGGACCGGTGGGTACCATAATAATACAAGGGCCTTAATAATTAGAATAGGGTTCCTTTCAAGGGGTCTATGTGGGTTACTATAAGGGTACTATAATATACTATAATATCGGGCCTTAATAAGGGCCGAAGGGTTCAGGGTTCCTAGGACGGTTGCTAACGGCAATATAGGGCCCTAAGCAACTGCCAAATTATGCTATTTTGGGGGTTCCTTATTAAGGCCCCTATATTATAGTATCCTTATAGTAACCCTCATAGACCCCTTGAAAGGAACCCTATTCTAATTATTAAGGCCCTGATATTATGGTACCCTTATAGTAGCCCTCATAGACCCCTTAAAGGAACCCTATTCCAATTATTAAGGCCCCTATATTATAGTACCCTTATAGATCACTTATAGACCCCTTTCAAGGAACCCTACTCTAATCATTAAGGCCCCTACATTCTAGTACCCTTATAGATCACTTAGACCCCTTTCAAGGAACCCTACTGTAATCATTAAGGCCCCTATATTTAGCACCTGTATAGATCGTTGAAAGACCCCTTTCAAGGAACCCTACTCTAATCATTAAGGCCCCTATATTTAGTACCCTTATAGATCGTTTACAGACCCTTTTGAAGGAACCTATTCTAATTAAGAAGGCCCCTATATTATATGGGTCTGGGTGGCGAGGCTCTTCCCGATTCGCGCTGACCTGGGGCTGCCCAACCTGTGCGCTTCTTCCCCCTCGGCGTTTGGAGTTTGGGGTTTGGGGTTTAGGGGTTTAGGGGTTCAGGGTTTAGGGGATTAGGGGTTTAGAGTTTAGGGTTTGGGGTTTAGGGTTCTAGCAGAGGGTTTGGGGTTTAGGGTTCTAGTAGAGGGTCTGGGGGTTTGGGGTTCTGGTGGGGCTTTGTGGGTTATGGGGCTTAGGGTCTTAGGGTGCAAGCCTTCTTCATCAACTTCGCGCGGTTCCGTCAACCAAGATTCTCTCAACCCCGCTTCCTTCAACCATGTTCCCCGCTTCCCTCAACTCAGATTGTGCGTTTCTTTCAACCCCCATCGCCCGCTTCCCTCAACCCGGATATTGCCGATTCTGTCAACCCCCATCGCCCGATTCCGTCAACGCATACTGTGCTGATTCCGTCAACTTCGCCCCCCCGTTTGCGTGCTGGGGGTTGAGTGAATCTGCGTGCTGGGGTTGAAAGAATCAGGTTATGTATGGGTTGAACGAAGCAGTTCTTTGGGTTGAAGGAATCATTTCCTTGGACATTGTTGAATGAATGTGCGGTCTGAGGTTGAAGGAAGCAGGTTTTGAGGTTGAAGGCATCCGCGTTTCCGGGTTGACAGAATCCGCGGTCAGTGGTTGACGGAAAAATCGGCGAAAAGTTGAAGGAATCCTCGCGCGACCGGGGCTTAGAATTTTGGGTTTTAGTAGGCTTCGGGTTTTTTTGGTTAGGGCTCAGAGTTTAGGGTTTTAATCGGGTTTTTGGGTTTTAGTGCTCCGAATGTAGGGTTTTTAGGCTCTGGTAGGGCTTAGAGTCTAGGATTTAGGGTTTAGGGGGTGGGTGTTCAGGGAGACGCTTTCGGCTTGCGGCTAATTGCATGCAGTGTCGAGGTCGTGGATCTATGGCGTTCGAATTAAGACGTAGCATTCACCCAGTGTCGAAGACGTTGTCACCGGTGTCTGGGAAGTTTGACTGGTGCAGGTCTGCGTTGTTTGTTGCGCTCACCTTCAGGTCTAAGATGACATCAGGGCTTTGATGCACATGTGACCTAGGATGAGGCCAGCTTTCCCCCGGTTGGACTGATGCTTGACAATTAGGGAAACAGGTACAAGACCCTTCGAGGATCCGAGAACATATTTCCAGAGTGTGGTGTCGGAGACTCTACGAGGTATCGCTTCAACATGGCGACGCAGCAGTGGGAGCTGCCTCCGGAGTGGGAGGTGCAGGGTACCGTCGTTTTGAGATTGGTCAGTCTGTGAGAAACCAGCAAGACGTACCATGACTTGTTTTGTCTGCTAACCGGATGCTCATTATGCCGGTGGTAGTGGTGGTGGTGGTGGCGGTGGCGGTGGTGGTGGGGTGTGGTGGTGGTGGTGGTGGTGGTGGTGGTGGTGGTGGTGGTGGTGGTGGTGGTGGTGGTGGTGGTGGTGGTGGTGGTGGTGGTGGTGGTGGTGGTGGTGGTGGTGGTGGTGGTGGTGGTGGTGGTGGTGGCGGCAGTGGTGGCGGTGGTGCTGGTTATGCCGTTGCTGCTGCTGATGACAACGATCTAGATGAGGGTGATGCCGTCGATGACACAAACAAAAGCGATTATAATGAAGTTGGGTGTAAGGATAATATCTTTTATTGGCACTACTCTTGAGAGTATGGTACTGCGGCCAGCCATTCTTGTGGCATTCGTCTCAGAGCTGGAATCTTGCGATAGCACTGACGGCCACCTTCGCCAACGGCTGCAGCATATCGGCTCAAAGCGGAGGACGACGACCCCTCAGACAGATGGATTCTCAAGTTTGCCCTTAAGGTCATCATATCATGCAGTGAGAGCAATCTGCATGTGAATAGTTTGCCAGCAAGCAGCAGCGACCTCTCTCTAAGTTTAACTAGGGTCCGAAGCAGTAAGATTCTTTGGAGGTTGGCACGTTCAAGCTGGGCTCCTAAGTGCATGTTGGGCACCCATCTTCTACCAACGAAGTTTTGCATCAAATCGTCCGCAGAAGTGCAAGTGATGCGCATGACAACTGGAGCGAAATCTGCAAACCACGCATGTGCGATTCTATAGAAATATCAGCCCTGGCCGTAGCCTCTCAATCTCCGCGATGCACAGTGCAAAATCACGTCATCATGTGGTTCCGGAATTCAGGGAGATTCGGAGTCTGTGAGCGTCCAATGGCGCTCCGGCTGCAACCTGGCTGGGAGTCATGAGCAATGCAGAAGGCGTGCAGCGCGAGCCTTCTCGCGCCAATCAGCTTTAGAGTAAAGGTGCCAAGCACAACTCCATCGAGATACAGTAGTTCAAACAGCTATCTTGGAGTTTGATATGGAAACTAGACTAACTAGACTAGACGTTACTGGCACTTCGCCTTTTGCAAGTGTTCCTGTTGCTGTGATTGTGGCTCAAATCCACGTTTCGGATCGGGTTTGCTGTTCAGCTTGCAGGAGCTCTGAGTTTCTTATGGCTCCATTTCCAGCTAGGCAAAATCGGGGCCAGCAACATTCCAATACTGTTTTGTGGTTCCTGATAGTGATTATAGTAGAGTATACCCAAAGCCCTAT